TACTGTTTTCTGTCAAATTTTAAGCAATATCCGTTTACAGGAGTTAGTACTTTACGCTAAATCTGATTTCTCAATTCTTTGTTTTTCCACTATATTTTATTCTTTTTAAATAAGTTAAATATTTAAAAAATTGATTAAAAATCATGTCTATATTCCAGGTTGCCATAAGTTAAGGGGAGATCGCTCTCGCTTTAGTTATAATATCCCATAGTGATTAACAATGGCTCAATCTCGGGATCTTTATCCTTCAATTTTTTCTTTATGAAAGTAAAACAATTTAAAAACGAATAATATAATGTGAGAACTGCAATGTAGGCTCACGCCTTAATTGTCATTATTTCTTGTATTCATAAAAACCATACCATCACATACAAACCTATTTTACAGTCACTATAACATCACACACAAATTATATTTCACACTCACAATAACATCACGTAAAAATTTATTTCATACTCACTATAAAATCACATATAAATGAATTTCAGTGAATGTCTATAAACCCTGGCTTTGATTTGTTATTATTGTTATAGGCTACTATTGCCAGTTTGGCTTCAACGTTTTTAACCTTTATACAAACAGGATTAATGTTTATCAATAGATTCTGCAAGCTAAGTTACAAAATGAGGTGTTAATGTTACATAAAGGATCGCGTGGCTTACGTTTCTAACGGATTAGATAGATTAACCGATCAAACTTCTGACAACATAAACGACTTGAATACTGTGTCACCACGCTGGTAGGTTGGCGATTTAAAATAAATCGATACAGGACACCGCTTTATCTCTTTCAACTACGAAACCCACCAGGTATGAGATTGGAATACAGGACATACAAATAAGGGCGCATAAAAATAGCGTCCTCTAGTCAACCCCCCCCCCCCCTCCGCCCCAACACCCCCCCCCCCCTCCCCCCACACACCAACTATACATGCCCAAAAATCTAGATCTTTTCGGCAAAATTAAAAGTATACTATATTTCTTATAAAAACGTGTTAATTTCAAGGTTTTTATTACAAGCTTTTATTTAACTCACTTCCTCTGTCGTCAGTCATCAGTCTAGATCGAAACGCAGGAGTGAAAATTCGGACACTTCTACTTGACCGATACGATTCACAGTTAGCACGTGGGTCAAGACATGAAGACAATGCAATCTGAAATTAAATTTGACTAAATTGCATGCCTAATTATTTTTATGAATTAATTAAAATTTGGACCGAATTAGTAGGCATGTCTATCCAACCACACCACACGCGTCATCACGTTCAATAGCTGCGCCATCACGTTCAATAGGCGCGCAATGGTTTTTAGTCATGTAACTCTATTGTAAATAAAACATGTAAAGTACTGAAAAAAACATTCATAAAAAACGTTTTAATAACAAGCTTTTATGTAACAATGCACTAAAAAGTAGAAAATAAATTATACACTTCTATTTAAATAACTATAAAGAAAAGCGTGGGTCTCTTCCTAAACATTAGTAAAGGTATCCAATAGATACTAAAGTGACCCACGCTTTTCTTTATAGTTACTAAATAGTAGTGTATAATTTAAACTTCATTGAAGGTAATAAATAGTTAATAAAATGACCCACGCTTTTCTTTACAGTTATTTAAATAGTAGTGTTATTATATATTAAAGGAAATCAAATATTTTCTCCTTTTAATGCATTATTTCATAGAAGCTTGCAATTAAAACGTTTTTATGCATTTTTCTATGGATTTAATTTTACAATAATATGTGACGTATTTGTTAAGTTGTAAAGGTAATCAATAAAACTGGTACAAGCTCTGTGCTTAAATGATACATTCAGTATACTGATAATTACTTTCCCTACATCGGTGTTCTTCGCTACTTAAATCTTACCATATTTTATAGATTTAACTAAATTCATCAAATTCAAAAGAATATTGGCAAGGTATTTTACACACTACGGTTGATTAGTAAAAGTGTGATCATAAGAATTGTATTCAAGTCTGCGCTAGCAGGCAAAATCTGTAGAGTACGAAGTTGTATTGCAGTCACAGATAATATCCAAGTCACATTATCAATTTGTATTAATATATTTTACTCTAATAAAACTATGAGTAACAAAAATCTACACTGGTTTATTAAGTAACTTTAATGAAAGCAGCAGAAAATGTAACAATACATTTTTAGAAAATCTTCATTTAATTATACCTTATTTTAGGTTTGTATGTAGGCCACAGTTTCTTCCAGGCATTTCCTCAGAAAAGTCGATCAACTACACTCTACGGAACAAAATGGAATTTATATAGCTTTTTTATATAGAATTTAGTTCCCCCCCCCCTCCCCCCGAAAATATCAAGTGCTCTCCACCTCCTCCGCGAAGAGTCTGAAAGAAACACTGTATGCCCTGCAAATATCAGTTAAATTAATACACATCTACCAGAAAGAAGTAAAGACACTTAGTGACAGTTACAAAACAAAACTTTAAAAAGTACATTTAGTGAAACTGGCAAAGTAATACGTTACAATGTAAATTACTTTTTAAATCCGTGGTAAAGTTGCCTTTTTCAACAACCGACTTTATAAATTCATTAATTCCCGCACAAGTCAAATACAAAGATAGCCACAGTAGAAACTAAACCAATGTAAACGTGTTAATTAAACTTGAAACAAATAGCAAATGTATCCAAGTACCAGAAGTTACCGTTTACCTAGCTGTGATGATAGTGTAATTGATACCATGCGGGTGGTACGGGTTCGAATAATATGTGAATGATTAAGTTGCCAATCAGGACTTGACAGGGCACGGGGCAGGTGAGGTAGAGTTCACTTGTTTCTGTCTTTTCAGCATATGAAGGGATAGTGTAGTCAGACCCATGCTCAGCCTAAATAGGTGTTTTTAAAAGACAAAAACAACATAACTACTATTGAACAGCCGGGTTTAACGAAATCTTTAAAGCATTAGGGACAATTCAGCCTTTAACAGTTTTACGCAGCAAAGGATGGAGGGGGGGGGGGGGGGAGAGCAGCGAGCGGGTGGAGGGGGTTCTAAATTTTAGTATGTTATGACTTCATGAACAAACAAACCAAAGGTGAATCATACCAAGTGTAACAACGTGTATTTGATGATGTGACAATACGTTGTTATTGTGAGTTCTTTCTTCAATAGAGGCGATGAACAGTTCTTTCATTTTCCAACTTTCTTTACAGTAATAAGATAGACCCTTAAGGAATAATAACAATAAAGATAATCCACGAATAGTCAACATAGTGACCTGGTGACGGCTTACATTCTTCTGTACAGGCACTGTCTAGTCCACCTTACGCTCCCCTTTTTATATCCTTCATTCTCTCCCTTAACGTCAGTGAGCGATACGACAAAAAGCATGGAAAAACATGATCAGTCGCTCATACAGTCCTCCCGTCGGCCAGGTATTCTACTTTCATACAAGTTCATGCTAAATATAACATAAATAAACAATACCAAAAATACAGTCTGTTACACCAAGTGAAAATACTACTGCTTGTAATTATTACTCAGGGTATTATGTCGATGAAATAAGCAATGAAGGGCTTGGTACGTTGGTGTTAGGGGATGACCTGGTCAAAGAACGCCACAACTAGTCATATAAGAGAGTCGGATTAGACAAATGAATGGGTACCTGACTCATGTTAAAGAAAATATCCCTTCATATGCCGAAGTCAATGAAACGGGTGAACTCTACTTCATCTGCCCAATTGGACCGTCAGGTTCATATGAGTACTTCACTTCCTGGACTAGTCAGCCGAGCGTGTAGTGCACCACAATTCACCTTTGGTTTTTTAAAAGTAGCTAGTTCCAAATTTAATATAGTTCCATCCATAAATGACGTCATCCTTTTTTAAAAACTTATTTTCATTTCTTCTTTTCCCTATCGCTATCATGACACATCGTCATAAAAACCGACACCGACCCCTCTCTTAAATGATGGCACATTTACAATATATCCTGAGTTATTTTTTCTTCTTCTAAATTTCGAGAATGGGAGAGAACCAGTTACGGGAGACTTTTACCTAGAGATTTATTGAGTCGTGCCCCTTTGAGTGGAAAACTGCAACGAGGTAAAGGTTTAATTCAAACGAGCCGACCCGCGGCGTATCATACGCCGCTATTTAGTTGTTGTATTTTCTACTTTTCAGTAATTCATAATTACTGTCACAGTAAGTCATTAAGGACGATGACCCCCCCCCCCCCTCTATTCCCCCAACCCCTACCCCCCCCCCCCCCGAAAGCAGCCTCCTCTTAGTTACCTCCCCTAAGTTTAAAATCGTTTCAAACTAAATTATCTTCCCCTAATAGCCGTCACTAAACCCGGCTCTACGATAGTAAACATTTAACGTGAACCACAGCTCACCTGACTTCCTAGAGAGGAAGAGAGGGGACTGCAAGGCGCGCTTACAGCTTGTTTTCTAATGTCTCCCATAAGATAATTATATATATAGATGATTATATTTTATATTTAAATCATCGCAGTTGATTTTGCCGACAACATTGCTAATCAATATTTTTTTTTTATATTCAAATTTTAGCAAATTATAGTCTAGAATATTTACATTTTACTTTAAACTGTTTTACAATTTAAATATTTAAATTACGTTTACAATTCAAATTTTAAATCGTACCCTTTTCTTAAAAATTGCCAATGTGTGTACTTCACATTTTTAAAGATCATCGCGCTTTCTAACGTAAAACATTGTCAGCGAAGTCTGAATTACACTCTTATCCCATGCTGTGAATGTCAGCAATAAGCCGTACTAGAGTACTTTTTAAAATGACCACAACATGTAGTTTTAAAACAATTAGACAGGAAATAAATCTTCAAAGCTACTTTAATAACTTTTCGGTTTCAAATGAATTTTTTTTTGCGTTTACAAATTTTACTATGTTTCTATATATTTAATTTAATGCTGTGATTTAATTTGAATGAATTTTATTAATTTAATCCTTTTAATTAACAAGAAAACTCTAACGTAAACAACATATTTGGGGGTTTATCTGGTGTAGTAGCAGAGTTCGAGAACTACGTTGTTGAGCTGACCATCCGGGTGGTACTCGCCGAAATACTGGTCGCTATTGCCACCGGTGTCCTCCGTGTCGAACACGATGGTCTCGGGGGTCAGCTTCATGTTGGCCACCTGCTGACACACCCCACCGAACCGAAACAGGTAAAACGGCTTCGCTGTCGGCAGGTACATTGGTTTCTCCGGCTTGCCGTCTCGGCGGCAGCAGTAGTAGATTCTGGAATCGGCGCCAAATCCGGCCGTCGGGATGTAACCACCGTACCTCCCACCGTATTGATTGTTCTCCTCATCCCAGTAGATGCTGCCGTCATGGAACCCCGGCGGGCAGACACCGGCGTACATCATGACACAATAGGAGCCGGTCGGCCAGTTCGGTCCCTGATGTCCACCAGCGATAGTGCAGAAGCTGAGGAGGATGAAGTAGTTGCTGCCTGTCTTCAGCTGGTAGGGTTTCTTCAAGTGGGCGTTGGCCGTGATGTTGTCCTGGTTCTGGGGGGACGTGGACTCGGTGTGGAACTGCCGGTACCCGTCGGTCTTCCAGTCCAGGAAGGAGAAGCCCATGCTAGGGCAGCCGGTTTCCGGTTGGAGGAGGCTGAAGTACCCTTCTGGCCACACAGTGCTCCTGTAGAAGATAAATTAATGTAACATTAGATACCAAGGTGCTCGCGTAAAACAGAAAATATTGTAACTTTAGACACCAAATTGCTCATGTAGAAGAGAAATTAATATAACCCTAAACACCAAGGTGCTCATGTACAACAGAAAAAAAAATTAACATTAGACACCGAATTGCTTTTGTAGAAGAGAAAGAAATACAATCTTAGACACAGAAGATGCTCCTATAAAACTTAATTTAAAGCATTGACACCAAAGTGCTCCTGTTAATCAGAAAGTATGAATGTAACCTTTGAAACCAAGGCTCCCCCAAGGAAATGATTATTCACATTATTTACACACATAAATTTACACACAAAAAAGTAATGACATAGATTTCTTGTTAAAAAACTATAAGATAACTATATTAAAGTTTAAGTTCACTTTTAAAAAGACCGCATATTCAGCTCTCCATTAACTATGAACATTTTTGTCTCTAAACAAGAAGTGTGTTTGTGAATGAAATCCTCGTCTGTTGATTCAAGTAAGTAACTTCACACTTTCTGGTAAACATGAAAAAACTCGTCTCTAAATTGTTTTCAAGTCCCAAAAAGCTGAACTCCAGATTCTTTATGTTTTAGTTGTAAATGTAGCCAACAATTGTTTACCTGAGGTCTGAAAGCTGTACCTGTGGCCTACAGTTGGTTACCTGAGGTCTGAAAGCTGTACCTGTGCCCTACAGTTGGTTACCTAAGGTCTGAAAGCTGTACCTGTGCCCTACAGTTGGTTACCTGAGGTCTGAAAGCTGTACTTGTGGTCTACAGTTGGTTACCTGAGGTCTGATAGTATTTACCTGTGACCTACAGGTTGTACCTGTGACCTTCAGGCTGTACCTGTGTCCTATCGGCGTTACCTTTGGCCTACAGTTGTTTACCTGAGCAGCTGATCCCCATCCAGACCACCCAGCCCCCCGTCCCCGCCGATGTTGTAGTTGTTGGTGGTGGCGGTGACAGATTGTTGAATCTCGTTGAGTTTCTTGTCGTATTTGTCCTCTAGGATGGAGATCATGTCAGTGCACCCGCATTCTCCGTAATCTTTTTCTAGTTGAGATGAGACGGTCACAGTCGCCTCTCCTTTCGCAGAACCCTGTAGAAGTTAATCTATCTATTTATCTTTATATATATATATATATATATATATATATATATATTATATATATATATATATATATATATATATATATATATATATATATATATAAATGTATGTCTGTGTGTGTGTGTCTGTTTATCTGCCTTTTATGCATTACCACACCTTTCATCCGAGAATACACCTGAGGAGATTTCTGCGAACAAAAAATTTCAAAATCGAAGGGGTGGCGCCCCGACAGGGCGCGATTTGTTTTTTCTCAATATACGGTATATAAAAATTAAAGTTGATTGTGTTTTCACACCATTAATCCGATCGCCATCGAACTTTGGGGAGTTGATTAACACACTGCAGATGAGCAGATGAGGTTTCTGAAAAAAAATCCTTTTTAATTTTGCAAGGGCGGCGCCCCGGGGATGGTGCGATTTTTCTCTATATACGGTTTATAAAAATAAAAGTCGATTGCGGTTTCACACCGTTCATCCGATCGCCATGTGAGGTTTCTGTAATATAATCTTTTGTAATTTCGCAAGGGCGGCGCCTCGGGAGGGTGCGATTTTTCTCCCATATTTGACAAATAAAAAAAAATGAAAGTCAGATGCGGTTCGACACCGTTTATCAGAGTGCCATAAAACTTTAGGGAGGATAAATACCGATGAATACCGAGATAGTTTCTGAAGAGGTGTTATTTAATTTCGCATGTGCGGCCACCGGCAGGATGCGATTTGGCACCCTGGTCTTTCCCATGAGCGCTATAGCGATTACGTTTGTTCTAAACAGTGTTATAAACAATGGATAAAATGGTAGCGTTACAGTCGCTCACTATATTGATTCAGGCGTGTCCGCCGGGGCCATGGTAGGGTGCAATTTGGCTGCGGACAAAAATTTCAGTTTTGCCCCTAAAGGCTCACATGGGCCGCTGAGGGCCCTGCAATTTTTAATGATCAGATAAATTAATCAAGTTTAGATTATTAACTGGGTTGTTTCCTTTTGTCCGTAAAAAAATCTAAACAGTTTCGTCACTTTGCAAATGATGCAATCAGCATCTATTTTTATACTATCCAATCAAAAATTGAGATCGAGCTTCTAATAATACACCATTAGTAATGCTAAAAATATCATTGATGTTTATAACACCTCAAATTTTTTTCTACGTGTAAAAGAAAAAACCCTCTTGATTTGTGTAACTTTAGCGAATGACGCAATCTGAATCATTGTTTCAGAATGCTATGTGGCGCTCTGGGTTGTACTGTGAGCACTATGGCGCCTATGTTAGTTTTAAGGAGCAAGGGGCCGTACGCGGCGCCTCTGCGGTAGTGTAATCGAGGGGCTCCAGAGAGCGCCCCTCTACGTGCCTGACACATGTGCGGTCACCGAAGTGTGTTCTACCTCATTATTTTAGTGAGTGATTAACGTATACTCAAGGTTTTCATGCAGTAGTGTAGGTAAACCGTGTCCCAATATTTATAATCCAAGCGCAGGCATCGTTTACATTTAAATAACTCACTTTTAAAAAAACAAGGTCACGCGTCAAAAAATATAGTATTGGTAACGCATGGATGAAACCCTTCTTATATATTTCGTCAGACTTTCTTCTATTCCCGCGGCATCGCGCGGGGAAGGGTACGCTAGTTATTCAATATATTATGAATTTTTAATACAAATGTGATGCCACTAAAGCTTAATTTAAAAAAAGGTTTTGAAAATGGAATACATATCAGTAGAGGTTTAAAACATACGAGCTGGCCCGTGGCATAACATACGCCGCTATTTAGTTGTTGTTTTCTCTACTTTTCAGTAATTCATAATTTGTGAATTCGACAGTACCAACGCTGCCACTGAAAATATTTCTTTAAAACACTATAAGTAGCTCGTTAAGGACCATAACCCCCCCCCCCCCTTACGTTTAAAATCGTTTTAAACTAAATTATCTGCGCCTAATAGTCGTCACATAATTCGGCTCTGCTTGTAAACATTTAGAGTGAACACAGCTCACTAAGACCATGTAGGGGTGGGGAGGTAGGGAGTGCATTTACAGCTTGATTTTTAGCGTATCCCAGAAGAGAATTATATATATAGATTTTAACAATTTAAAATATTTTTTGCTTTAAAGAACAACCAAAGTACTTGCCCCTGATTTAGCCAGGCCATTGACGACACATCTGAAATTGCCGTCTGCTACGCCAACCGTAATCTGCACTGTGGATGGTGCGCCACTCGTAGCAGCCATCTTGACACTTCTTGACGTCAGAAGTTTGCTGAACTCTGAGGGGCTGCCTTTCGTGTATTTTAGTAACAGCTGGTAGTTGTTCGCCTTAAGTAACGTAGCATAGATTTTATTAAACAAAGCAAATAAATATACAGGCTGTGTATAGATACTTAAATTATTCGGCAAATGAAAATTTAAAAAAATTAATTTCCTTAATAATTCTATTAAGTTTAGAGAGAGAATAGTTGAAAATGAGACCGAGTCCGGCTTTTTGCAGCGACTTGACACGATACAATTTTCACAGGGAAGGATGGTTGTTCTAAAAGGATCTGTCGTCTTGTGCCCATTTCGATGCAAATGAGAGATTCCCACAATACAACGCATTAATTTTTTTTAATCTTACGGTAATGACGTTATGTAGTAGCTAGTCCGGTAGAAGAATATTCAACTTAAAATGACAGAGATTAAAACCAGCACGTCCGCTATGGCAACGAGAAGTGACTTACCGATGTTTCTCTCTCAATCACGAGGCTGGAGACGGAGTAGAGAGTTCCAGAACCAGACACAGCGCATTTTAAAGACACAGCGCCATCTTGGGGGACAGCATCAAACGTGATACCTGACGACTGTGCATGTACGGAAGCCGCAGCTAGGTAGACCACGCATTGGGTCACCAAAAGCCAATTCATCTGGGTAACAAAATGATCTCATGTTTATATTGTTTTAAAAATATAATCTTGTAGCCTTCAAAGATATAGCATTAATCTAATTCCAATTATTTAGTTTTCATTCAAAATTCGTTAAAATATAAAGTATATTTTTTCCATTTATAGTAAATCTCTTTAATACTGGATTCCTCTATACTTGCGTTCTTTAATATCCTATAGATGTCACATGTATTTGATTTATAACATATAATATAAACTGATGTAGCCTACTCTGTGGCAAACATATCAGGGATTTCATGTCGAACTACAACGTTCTTAAATCTTTTGAAAGTAGGCTAATATCGTAGTTTAGACTAAAGTTCTTTTTTTTCTAAAAAGTTATTTAAAATTTTGTGATCTTGATGAATTCTATACTTGGCGTGCGCCTTCTACACATATGAGATTTTATGGTGTATTTTTTCTTGATTTTTGTTTGTTTTTGTTTTTAATCTTCTTTGCAAATGACTAGAATAAAACAGTTTATAGCACGGCACTATGAGGAGATGAATTCTATAAAAATAAAAAGACGTCTTTAAATTTTTTGATGCGAAATAAAAATGTTTTCTTTCTTAACACATTTTGTGAAATCTTTAAAATTATCTGCTTGTGGAAACTTTAAAATTACATACATTGTAAAAACTTATAAATAACATGCATTGGAAAACCAATAAAATAACCAGCATTATAGCTTTTACAACAAGATACATTATTTCATGAAAATCAAATTGTTTCATGCCATGTTATATAAAACTGAATCAACAACTAAAATATACTGCCGACGTCTGAGGAGATGTAGAGAGTGAAAACAGTTATCCAAATAGTGTGTATTGTTCAAAATAAACTCAAATCTCTAACTAATTTTGTAAACTCTTTTTAAATATTTGACACTTTTTAAAACTAAAAAATACATCGCTATCATGGATAGGAAATACAACAGTTACCATGAAGATTAAAGCGAAGCAGACGACAAGACTATTGCTGTATTTACTCTATCAGTTGTCCTTGTGCTACTGTTGAGTTTCCACTGAAAGATAGAGCCCTTGCTTTGCATATATACACTCCCATCACCATGTTACGAAATGCAACCGGCACTTAAAACGCATTAAAACCTCATCTTTATTAATTCCGATGTCTCGACCGGAAATAAATATGTGCATTTTTATGAGAGAATTTCAAACCTGTTGCAAGTTGTTGACAAGATGAGGAAGCTTGCCAGATGTTGTTGTCTAGTTTAAATGATAATGCTAAATTTGAGTAATTTGGTTTACTTTGCTAATTGAATTTTAGTTTTTATTTTGATAGGACCCAGACACTTAAAAAGAAATGTTGGCTTTCTGAATTTACAATAACTACCTTATTGTTTGTAATATCAAACTAAAATTAAACTAAAATGTGTTATTGTGTAAAATCAAAGATTTTTTAGGAAAGAAGAATATTTATTAGAAGCATATAAATGTAGTCGTTAATAACGAAGGCAAATGATTGAAATGAATGTAAAAGTTTGTGAATCTTAAACATTGGCAGCTTATAATAATAATAAGCAAAAACTTTTTCAAAGCAACGTTTTCATAAAGCAGTTTTTTATTGAAAATTTCTAAAAATAAAGTAGCTAGTTGATAACTGCTTGTAGATCGTAAAATAACTATTGTTTTTTTTCGACTCAGAGAGGTGTAAAACTTCGAGATTTGTAAAAATCTCGATTTTTTTTTGCACGGTTACGAGACTTTCTCTATACTCTGTATACGAGAAGGTAAAAAGATGCACTTGAGTCAAAGATACGTGACTAAACTAACTGCACATTTAAACGGGCGGAGGTCACGTTAAAACACTTAGCTCCCGACCCCTTAATCTCCATTCCCATAGGTTTCTGTGCTAAATGTACATATAACAGACTATTTAAAAATAATAACAAAGAATGTAAAAAAAAAACAAGCTTAGTTTTATTATTTTAATGACCGTGTGTACGTGTATCATCGTCGATAGATGTTCTTGGTATGCCAGACAAGTTAGAGCCTTCTTTCAAACTTAGGTGTGGACATAGGAAGAATGACTCTG